CGGGGTGCAGTGCAGGACCATGCAGGGTGGGTGCAGTGCTGGGCACGGGGCCGTGCACTGTGGGGTGCAGTGCCAGGTGTGGGGCAGGATGCGGGGTGCAGTGCAGGGGCGTGCAGTGCGGGTTGGAGGGTGCAGTGTGGGGCGCAATGCAGGGTGCGAGGCGGTGTGCATTGTGGGGATGGGATGCAGTGTAGGGTGCAGTGTGGGGGACAGGTAAGGAGCAGTGTGGTTGCAGTGCAGGGGCATGCAGGGCAGGGTGCAGGGCAGGGGCAGGGTACAGTGTGGGGTGCAGTGTGGGGTGCAGGGCAGGGGCATGCAGTGTGTGGTGCACTGCAGAGTGCAGTGCATGGTGCAGGACAGGGGCAGGGTGCAGGGTGCTGTGCAGTGCAGGGGCATGCAGGGTGGGGGCAGGGTGGGGACAGGGATGAACTGCAGGGATGGATTGATGGAGGCAGGGTGTGGTGCAGTGTGGAGTGGTGCAGGAGAGCAGTGCGGGTGTGCAGTGCAGGGCAGTGTGGAGCACAATGCAGAGCACAGTGTGCGGCAGGGTAGCAGTGCAAGGCGCAGTAGAGGATGATGCAGGATGGTGCGTCGGCACAGTGTGGGGTGGTGTAGGGTGCAGTGTGGGGGTGCAGTGAAGGGTGGTGCAGGGGTGCAGTGGAGGGTGATGCATCGATGCAGTGCAGGAGCGCAGTGCAGGGCAGTGTGGGATGCAGTGAAGGGTGGTGTGTCCATGCAGTGTGGGGGTGCAGGGCAGGGCGGTGAAGGGATGCAGTGAAGGGTGGTGTGTTGGTGCAGTGTGGGGCGGTGCAGGGATGCAGTGGAGAGTGGTGCATCCATGCAGTGTGGAGGTGCAGTGAAGGGTGGTGCAGGGACGCAGTGCAGGGTGATGTGTCAGTGCAGTGCGGGGGGTGCATTGCAGGGGGTGCAGGGATGCAGTGGAGGGTGCTGTGTCGGTGCAGTGAATGGGGTGCAGTGCGGGGCAGTGTAGGGATGCAGTGGAGGGTGGTGCGTCGGTGCAGTGCGGGGGCGCAGTGCAGGATGGTGCAGGGATGCAGTGGAGGGTGGTGCATCAGTGCAGTGCAGGGGTGCAGTGTGGGGCAGTGCAGGGATGCAGTGGAGGGTGGTGCATCAGTGCAGTGCAGGGGTGCAGTGTGGGGCAGTGCAGGGATGCAGTGGAGGGTGGTGCATCAGTGCAGTGCAGGGGTGCAGTGTGGGGCAGTGCAGGGATGCAGTGGAGGGTGGTGCATCAGTGCAGTGCAGGGGTGCAGTGTGGGGCAGTGCAGGGATGCAGTGGAGGGTGGTGCATCAGTGCAGTGCAGGGGTGCAGTGTGGGGCAGTGCAGGGATGCAGTGGAGGGTGGTGCATCAGTGCAGTGCAGGGGTGCAGTGTGGGGCAGTGCAGGGATGCAGTGGAGGGTGGTGCATCAGTGCAGTGCAGGGGTGCAGTGTGGGGCAGTGCAGGGATGCAGTGGAGGGTGGTGCATCAGTGCAGTGCAGGGGTGCAGTGTGGGGCAGTGCAGGGATGCAGTGGAGGGTGGTGCATCAGTGCAGTGCAGGGGTGCAGTGTGGGGCAGTGCAGGGATGCAGTGGAGGGTGGTGCGTCGGTGCAGTGCGGGGGCGCAGTGCAGGATGGTGCAGGGATGCAGTGGAGGGTGGTGCGTCGGTGCAGTGCGGGGGCGCAGTGCAGGATGGTGCAGGGATGCAGTGGAGGGTGGTGCGTCGGTGCAGTGCGGGGGCGCAGTGCAGGATGGTGCAGGGATGCAGTGGAGGGTGGTGCGTCGGTGCAGTGCGGGGGCGCAGTGCAGGATGGTGCAGGGATGCAGTGGAGGGTGGTGCGTCGGTGCAGTGCGGGGGCGCAGTGCAGGATGGTGCAGGGATGCAGTGGAGGGTGGTGCGTCGGTGCAGTGCGGGGGCGCAGTGCAGGATGGTGCAGGGATGCAGTGGAGGGTGGTGCGTCGGTGCAGTGCGGGGGCGCAGTGCAGGATGGTGCAGGGATGCAGTGGAGGGTGGTGCGTCGGTGCAGTGCGGGGGCGCAGTGCAGGATGGTGCAGGGATGCAGTGG